ACTCTGCTTGCTGTCCCTGGTTTTCAGGTACTGAGAAACAGAAAAACATATAAAATAATTAAAGAGGGCCACCATCAATGACATAACACATCTGAGATAAATACCAATAGTAAAAAACCAAAAAACTCAAAGTTCTAAAAATCAACTCAGGCCTAGAGTGCATCAGAATGGGGATCAACTGACCATGTTTTAAGTATTCGAGTCAAGCTTATCATTTTGATCTTCTATAGTCATCTTTCCAATGCACTCTTTTGGGTACCCACTTTCCTCCCCTTCCTCTATTATGGAGAGAGGGAAATCACTGGAAGCTTTTTTCCTTTGAAGATCCCACAAACTCATCTTGGGCTCCCACCATCATCCACAGCCTTCTGCAAACCAGATTCTCACAATTTAGCCTCTGAAACTATTACCTCCTTGGACTTCGGATTATATAATTTACCATTTTTCTGTCATTCAGTTGGTGTGCCTTTTCTATGTAAACTTAGTTGACATCTCACTTATATGCCTACTTCTTTGGAAACCAGCCTCTGAGATCCCAGACAGCATTTGACCTGATCACTGGGCACTATCTCATTTCCTCAGCAGACTTTGGTATAGCCACCATGTGACTGCAAGTATCGATCAGGGCCATGACAGAAGAACTAACTGTCCTTAAAGTGGAGCTAGGGTTTAGTGGGAGCCCCAAATCCATTCCTGTATCTAAGGTGGTTTTGTTTTTATCTGCCTTTGGTTCCCTTTCAAAACCTCTTTGTTAATTTATGGTAGAGAGCCTTTCTATCATCCCCCCAAAGCATAACAATATTTTGTTGATATTGTCTTTCATTAATCCACTGGTACTAATTTTTTAATGCCCTGTTGAAAGAGGGATATTGGTCAATTGTAAGCTAACTCTATATCTCATTAGCTGACTTATTCACTTGTACAGAACCAATCCTTTTGTAAATAGCTGGATGTTATTTACACAAACAGTATGAGGTGATGGATTTTACACAATTTTTAACTCAGTCTGCTTCTCTGAACCAAGTGGAGAAAAACTTGTTTAGTCTACAAGCAATGGAACAAACTAAAAAGTAAACGATAGTAAAGTTAGAGACAAAAATATTTCAAGAAACACCATAAGAGTCTACCAAGAGCTACAACCCAGTGACCATAAGCAGCAAAGTAAGTAAATTCTGACATTTCTTAAAGGTTGCAAAGAAATAAAGAATTGCAGCTATATAAAAACACATATGAAATCCAAAAACATCATAGATATATAGGGTTCGAGTTCATATATACATGGATTTATCACAAACAAAACATATATAAATATATTTTTATTAACAAAAATATATTTATTATTATTAGAATAGATTCTTAGTGACTGCATTGCAATTTTTAAGAATAATTTTGTTGACTTATTTTTTTAGTTTAATAAATTATTTTATTGGGGGCTATTACATCCCTTATAACAATCCCTATATATATTTCTTAACAATAAAGGGATGGTAACTGACAAGTTCTGTCTATAACGAACGTCTTAATTTTGTTGTGTTGTTGTTATCTGTCTTGGAAGAAGTCTGGCTACAGGACTCCTTAGGGGCAAAAATGGCAAGACTTCATCTCACACAGCTAAGGCATATTGTTAGGAGATACCAATCCCTGGAGAAGCACATTGTACTTGGTAAAGCAGACCACCTGTGAAAGAGAAGGAGATCCTCAATAAGAGGGAGGCACCCAGTGGTCTCAGGCATAGGCACAATTGTAAGGATGGCTCAGCACTGCGCATCATTTCGTTCTGTTGTGCATCGGCATTGGGGTTGTTATGGATTGGAAGCAACTCCTGGGCACCTAACAACAACAGCAATAGAGTTGGTTCTGACTCAGACACTATGTACAACACAATAAAATACTTACCAGTCCTCTCCCATCCTCACAATTGTTGTTAAGGTTGAGTTCATTGTTCCAGCCACGGTGTGAATTCAGATTGTCCAGTGTCCTCCTCCTTTTCACTGTCCCTCTATTTGACCAAGCATGACTCCCTATCCAAGGATCTGTTCTCTTTGATTAGCATGTGCAAAGTATCCAAGATACAGTCTTGCCACTTCACCCCCATGGCACTATTGTGTTTGTACTTCTTCCAAGGAGTATATTTGTTTGTTCTTTTGTCCATCCATGGAACTTCAATATTCTTTGCCAGCATGATAATTCAAATGCATTGCTTCTTCATTCTTCTTCCTTATTCAATGTCCAACTTTCATAGGCACTCAAGGGCATTGAAAATGCCATACCTGTGTCAGGTGCGCTTTAGTCCTCAAGCTAATATCCTTGCTTTTCAACAATTTAAAGAGGTCTTGTGCAATTCTACACAATGCAATGTGTCATTTGATCTCTTGACTGCTGGTTTAATGAGCATTGATTATTGATCCAAGTAAGACCAAATTCTTTAGCACTTCAATCTTTTCTCCTTTTATCATGATGTTATCTATTAGTACAACTGTGTGTATTTTTATTTCTTTAATTTTGATCCCTTTCAAAGGCTGAAATCTTTTATCTTTATCAGCAAGTGCTTGAAGTCCTCCTCAACAAGCAAGTTTGTATCACCTGTACATATCACAAGTTTTAATAAGCTACCATCCAATCTTAATGCTGCTTTCTTATTCATATAATTCAGCTCCTCTGATAATTTACTCAGCATGCAGATAGAACAAATACGATCAGAGAATACAATCCTGATGCATACATTTCCTGATTTTCAATCATGCAGTATCACTTTGTTCTGTTGATACAACTACCTATTTATCCAGGTACAGATTCTGTAGGAACACAATGAAGTGTTCTGGAATTTCCACTCTTACCTATACTATTCATAGTTTGTTATGAACCACAGAGTGGAATATCCTTGTGTAGTCAATAAAACACAGGTAAATATCTTTCTGCTATTCTCTGCTTTGTGCCAAGATATATGTGTCAGCAATGAAATACCTTGTTTCTCATTTGTGTTAGTCTGAGATAATTCGAGAAAAAAAATCCAGAGACACTCATATGTATATAAGAGAGAGCTTTAAATCAAAGAGCAATTGTATATTGAGAAAATATCCCAGCCCAGTCCAGATCAAGTCCATAAGTCTGATATTAGCCCCTCTGTCCAAAACTAGTCCATAAGTTCCTCTTCAGACTCACAGTGCACATGCAATGATGTCCAATGCAGATCACAGACCGGTAGGTGTAAAGCCTTGTGGATCCAAAGCCAGTGGAAGCATCTCAACACTAGCTTCTCTGGCTCTCTGAGTATGACTCCTCAACAGGAAGATGAAGCAGAGAGAGTGAGAGAGTCCATCCCGCCTCCATGGAAGAAGAGAGGAAGTTCCCAGAATCCTCAAGAGAAGGCCATGCCCACAAGTAGGCATCAATCAAGCTGTGGCCTGATTGAGAGGATAGACTCCATTCATTCACTCTCAATATCCTCAAGTTGACAAGAGATCATGCAACTACCACAACATCCTTTTGTAAATCTAGTCTAAACCTCTAAAACAGTGGCTCTCAACCTGTGCATTCCCACCCCTTTGTGGGTCGAATGACTCTTCACATGGGTCACTTAAGACTATTGGAAAACACATTACAATTCATAACAGTAGCAAAATTACAATTATGAAGTAGCGATGAAATAATTTTATGGTTGGGGGGGCGGTTACCACCCCATGAGCAACTGTATGAAAGGGTCATGGCATTAGGAAGGTTGAGAACCACTGTTCTAGCCTTCCCTAGTGAAGGTACTGTTGCAGCCATTGCTGGATGATCTTCGGCAAAAATTTCATAGGACGCCAAGTATATTATTCTATATTTTGTGTGTTCTGTTGGGTCTCACATTTCTTTGGAAGGTGTACAATGTGGATCTCTTCCAGACCGTTGGCCAAGTAGCTGTCTTCCAAATTTCTTGGCCCAGGCACTCTGGAAAATGTCAGACCCAACCTAGGGATGCATAGGACAGCCAAATAAAAAGGAGGGGGAAATTAAGAAAAAAAGAGGACTTGGCTACTAGGACACTAACGCACCCATGGGAAGTGTATTATTTATGTCTCCACAGGAAAGGGAGAGAGGGACCAGACTTCAAATGGTATGGCAAGCCTTGAGGGCAACATTCCAACATGGATCAGCAAACTAACAAAGAGGCCTTACCCAGCTACATCTACCTCCTCCCCAGAAGATTGCACTTATGAGGACAACATTGACGATAAAGCCCCAGGGAGAGTGGCAGGTCTACCCAGACCACAAGGGAACAAACTAAGAGGGAAAGAGAGGGAGGGAGGGAGGGAGAGAGAGAGAGAGAGAGAGAGAGAGAGAGAGAGAGAGAACCGCAACCTGGCCCACTAACTTGGAGCAACAAAGAGACCAGAGGACCATAGGGCCAGCCCCACCACTAGACACGCTGTCTCTTCACTAAACCACAGCACTGCAGGGTACAGCACAGGAGACACAGTGCAGGAAATATGGACCCCTCAGTCTGGGCCCCCCACCCCCCCACACACATTGGAGCGAACACAAAGGGAGCACAACAGAGTAGCAAGTGGAGCAAAGCAGCAAAGTCCCTGAGGAATCTGGAAAATCGACATCAGACTCAGAGCACAGGGATTGCCACCTCATTAGGTGTGATCAGAAAATGTACATAAGGGACAGCAGACAGAGCGGATACTACTTATAGGCCCAGTTTTTTGTTCTTCCTTTTTTCATATCTGTATAAGATGGGCAAGGTAAACAATCTAAAGAGGTAAATAACACAATCGATATTTCCAGTGGGGGGGTGTCAGTGAGAGGTGGGATTGGAAAATGGGAGGGGGAGCCAACAAAGCCAGGGACAAGGAAACAAGAAGAGATGTAAAATTGATGGTGAGGAGGATGTAGAATGCCTGGTGGGGTTTGATCAAGTGCAATATAACCTAGAGGTATTACTGAGAGCCAAATGAAGGTTGAACATGCTAGTGGGTCAGGAGGAAAGTAAAGAGAAACAGAGGAAATAACTAGGAGGCAAAAGACATTTATAGAGGTATAAATATAGTCAGGTATATATGTAAATATATCAATATATAACAATAGGGATATAGATCTATGTACATATATTTATATGTTAAGCATCAGAAGAACATTGGGCTTCTATTCAAGTCCTCCCTCAACACAAGGACACTTTATTCTAATGACCTGGCATTCTGTGATGCTCACTTTCCCAACAAAATCACTGAAGACAAACTGGATGCATAAGCAGATGTGGTGAAGAAAGCTGATGGTGCCCGGCTATTAGAAAATATAGTGTATGGGTCTTAAAGGCTTAAAGTTAAACAAGTGGGCATCTAGCAGGAAAGCAACAAAACCTATATGGAAGAAGAACACCAAGCCTGTGTGATCAAGAGGTGTTGATAGGATTAGGTATCAAGCATCAGAAGACCCAAAACAAACAATCATATTGATGTGAATGACAGAGGTCAGAAAGGAGACCCAAACCCCTTCTTTGGACAATTGGACATCCATCACAGAAAGGATGCAAGGAAGGGACGAGCCAGCCAGAGCATATTATAGCATGCATAAAACACTACATTCCTCTACTTCTTTCATGCTTCTTCCCCCACACTGTCATGACCCAAGTTCTACCTTAAAAATCCAGCTAGACTGGGGCATTTACAGTGGTACAGCTCTTGACACATGGGATTCAGGACAGAGAAACCATATGGGAAGATGGGGGCAGAATGGACAGAAAGGGGGAACCGACCACAATGACCAATGTATAATAGAAGTATGGGTGAACGGAGACAGTGTGTGATATTAGATATGAAAATAATAATTTACAACTTATCAGGGGTTCACGAGGGGTGGAAAACAGAGGAGCTGATACCAAAGGCTCAAGTAGAAAATTGTTTTTGAAAATTATGATGGTAGCCTATGTACGACTGTGCTTGATACGCTTGATGTATGGATTGTTATATAACAGCCACCAAAAAATGATTTATTAAAAAGAAAAAAACCTGGCCTTCCACTGAGGATGATTTTTATTTTTTAAACCCTTTGTATGATTAGAGTTGGTCAGATATAACCTACTTCACTTTTGTTCCCACCAAGGCTTGTCTAGGGGACACACTTTTCCTCACAACTGAGGAAGAAAGTTGTGAAAGGGGACCCTTAGCATCTTTGAAGAGTTTTGTGGTTACTCTTCTGTGTAGGTAAGAGGGAATGATTGGTAATGAGCTGGGAAAACTAAATCCAATGCAAATTATTGAATTTTGAGATCTCAGGGAGCAAGTGGCAACACTTAATCATAAAGGACATGTGGTCAAAGGTATTGTTATCTTTGTCCAAGACTAATTGATAACTATTCTATTAAAATAAAAGAAAGGAAATATGTTAATGGTGAAGAAAATATCAGGCTTTGAAGAGTTAATTCCATTAAGTAAAAGCCTTGCCTTCCAAATGGCAGGAGATGATAACTTCTAAGAGGAGAATGAAACCCTATAGTGCACCGTGAAAGAAGTTGACACATCAAATAATGGTGCTGGTGCCCTGGGCTGCAGAAGAACATGAGGTTTCCTGGTGGCATTGTGGGTTACAGCTTCGCTTGCTAACCACAAATCAGCCAAAATTACATCAGGACCAGTGGTGAAAGGGGCGAGGCCAGGAGGGTGAAGGGAAACCGATTACAAGAATCTAGGTATTGCCTCCTCCCTGGGGGAGGGACAGCAGAGAAGAGGGCGGGGGGAGACGTCGGACAGTGTAACTTATGACAATACTTTAATAAGTTGTGAATTATGAAGGGTTCATGAGGGAGGGGAGGTGGGGAGGGAGTGGGGAAATGAGCAACTGATATTAAGGGCTGAGGTGGAGGGCAAATGTTTTGAGAATGATGAGGGCAGCAGCAAATGTACATGTGTGCTTGACACAATGGATGGATGTATGGATTGTGATGAGAATTGTACGAGCCCCCAATAAAATAATTTTAAAAATATTAATAACGATTAGAAAAATAATTAAAATAAGTCAAAAGGGAGAACAAATGATAAAGTGCTACATTTTAACCTAACTACATCAGCATTAATCCACTTTCCAATGCACAGATTGAGAGATGATATGATTCAAGCTCCTGTTCTATGGCCATAGGGGATTTTTCAGGAGCTTCATCTACGTGGGGACCTTTCAAGTAGATTTTGTGCTTGCACTGTCATTCATGCCCATCTGGGTGCTCTGAATTTAAGCTCAAATATCATCCAGTCTTGGGTTTTATTATATATGATCTGTGGCTCATACAGGCTGTTATGGATATACTCTTTCTTTACATTCTCTCTTTTAATCATTTCATTGGGGGTTCTTACAGTTCTTAAAAAAAAACCCATACATCCATTGTGTCAAGCACATCTATACATATGCGTATTCTTTTCAAAACAGCGTTTTTCTGTCCCTCCCCCACCCTCCTACCCCCATGGACCCTTACATAAAGTGTCAGTAAATCAGTAACTTCATTTCGTAAAGTGGCATCTAGGTTGGAGTTTGAAGTTCATAGAAAACTAAAGAGAGGAAGGATCCCCTTCTCCACTTTCAGGATTGTACTATGACTGTGAATGAGTCACTGCAAACGATTCTGTTTCCTAATGGTCTTGAAACTTTTGAAATGGAGAATTCAGCAGTTTTTAATAAGGATAAGGGGTGGGGGGTGTTTGCTCACCTTGTAAAAACCAATAGGAAGACAGAAACCATTTCTGTCAAGTTCAGAAACAAACATCGCTGGTTATTGCCTCGATTGATCCAAACTGTGAGTAACCAAGGGTAGATTCTATTCCTTACTGCTCTGTATCCTAATTTTTTTAAATTTGTAAAACTATGATTTTCTTTCACTTATATGCTTCACAGGATAAATAGTTTAAATTCTCATCTATCCCAATTTTTGGTTATAATTTTTTCTCAGCTAATAAAATTAAACATAGAAAGTGTCATACACAATTTATGAATAGCTCACATCAGTTCCGTATTGCTGAGCATTTTGTGTTTAGATTGAAGCACCCAGTTATTTATCTCTTTCAAGTTCTCTACATATAAATTATATCAAATGAGTGAAATGCATTCTCTATTGGCCCAAAACCTCCTTTGAAGTTGTTTTCTTTGGTTCATACACTCATGAGTTGATCTTATGAATGCTACTTATCTTGAAAAAATTTACATGAAGTAGTCTACCAAAGCAAAAAGAAGATTTTGTGTCCACTCTATGCCACATAGTTGTGTGTGTGTGTGTGTGTGTGTGTGTGTGTGTGTGTGTATGTATGAAAGAGACAAAAAGAATCAATGAATTTGAATGATGGTGCTGGCAAAGAATATTGAAAGCATTCTGGACCAACAAAGGAACAGATAACTATGTCTTGGAAGAAGTATATCCAGAAGGCTCCTTAGAAATAAGAATGTTGACACTTCATCTCATACTAATAACAGTTTAGACATGTTATTAGGAGAGACTAGTCCCTGGAAAAAGACATCATGTTTGGTAAAGTAGAGGGACAGTGAACAAGAGAAAGACCCTCTCCAAGCTGGACTGACATAGTAGCTGCAGCAATTAGCTCAAACATAAACACAATTGTATGGATGGCAGAGCCCTGGTGGTATTTTGTTCTGTTGGACGCAGGGCTGCTACGACTTGAAGGCACCTACGAACAGCAATATAGACGCTCCTGGTAACAGCTTCATGAAGCCACAATTCACATAACACATAGCTCACACTGCTCACCTGATCAAATTGGACAATTCAAATGGTTCCATATATTCAAATTACCACCTCAATTAAGTTTAAAACATTTTTATTACTTTAAAAATACTGCCTCTCACTATCACTCCAGAGCACCCTCCCTAACTCCAAGCCCAGCTACTCGACTACTCTCTTTTCTGTTGAAAACAGATTTCTTTGGTCAGGTCTGTGCAGTAGCAGCACATTTTATACATTTTATTTGTCATTGCATGTCTTTATTCCCTCTTCACTCCTACAGCATAGGTTTCTATGTATATAATTCTGCTTACTGTTTATTTTTCTCTTGGCATTTTGGATGTGGCACATTGCTGCAGTCCAGCTGCAGTTGTTTCCATTGATGAATTATAATTAATATTATGGAGTTTGCTATGAAATAAGAATTCTTCTTTTATTGCCTTTAGATTTTTCTCTGTCTCTGACTTTAAGCAATTTTATTATCCTCTTATCACATGTATATAAGTCTTTGAGCCCTGACGGTTCAATGAGTTTGACATTTGAATGCTAACTGCAACAGCAGGGATCAACTGTCTGCTTCCTTAATGATTTAAAATTTAGTCACTGCATATCAGAATCAAATGGCTATCAGTGGTTTCTCTTTTGGTTGTTTAATTTATCCTGTGAAGAATTCGGATGGACATAATGCCTGCATCAATGCACTCTGTTGCTCACGGACTTCTGCAAGGACGGCACAGGACCACCAAGCAGTGTTTTCATCTGGTGTGGAGAAAGTCACTATGGGTCAGAAATGATGGATGGCCCCCCAAAATTACAAAGACAACATAGTCTTATCATTCTGTTTGTTCTAAAATCGAAATAGACTTTTTAATTTTGGTAAAATATTTACTATTGTTTTACCCAGGTTTTCGGAAATATCTATTTTCAAATGATATTATTCAGAGATTTTTTGTAAATATTTGAGACCCTCTTTAGGTTAGTACTTTATTATAGATTCTTTTCCTTTTCCCTAAATAATTAACATTTATTTTAAGTGAGCATAACATAGCAATAATTAGTAAAAAGCCAACTATTCTCATCTCCATGGTCACCACCTACAACTAAACCAGAGCTACCAAAATCTTAGAATTTAAAGATTTTTGTGTTAATCTTGCTTCATGTTCAATATGGGGATGCTTCATGCAGCTTACACATGTTAGGGAATATTTTAAAATATGATAAATTTGGGGATTTGTATTCACAAATGCTAATCCAATGTTGGCTAGCAATTAGAGTGGAATGTTTAAGTTTCTGTAAATGACGTCTTTAGAATAATTCAAATTTGCAGAATTTCCTCAGAACTTTATAAATAGCTTTTCAAAAGTACTCCTTATTTTTAACATCCCAAAGATCTCCACATGCACACAGAAAAAAAAAAGTACAGGAAAATGGTGTTAATATGGCCACGCATTTAAAGCAGTTAATTGTATTAACTGACTTGCAGCCTCCTCGGTAACAGCTTCATTAAGATGTAATTCAGATACCATCTAGTTCTCACTGATTACCCGTTTCAATCGACAATTCAATGGTTTTCAAATATTCAAATTTGTGCATTCATCACCTCAATGAATTGTCAAAGATACTTATGATTTGAAAAATAAAGCCTCTATTACTCCACAACACTCCAACACTCCCCCACCCCTCACACACACCCAAACCCTAGACCTGAAATCTGACTAATCTTCCTCAGTCTTTACAGTTTTCCTCTATCAGGTTTGTGCGCTAGTAGCATGTTTTCTACATTTATATTTATTATCAAATATCTTTATCTCCTCTTCACTACTGAAACATAATGTTCTACGTATAAAAACTTGATTAACCAAGCCCATAAGTCTGATATTAGCCCATATGTCCTATACCAATCAACAAAGTCCTTCTCAAACTCATAAGATCCCCCAATGCACAAAATCCAAGATAGATAAATCCCTCAGACACAGTACTGGGAATAATTTTGTGCATCGGGAGATCTTAATTGTACTAATGTACATGTGCAGGTCTAGCAAGATGAGTGAGGTAAAACTAAGGCTGTAATAGTGGGAGAAGGAAATGTTTAAGAACTAGAGGATAGTTATGTGATTCTTCCGGGACATACTGCACCCTGAATATAGTTTACCTGCAGCAATACCTCAGAGAAGAAACCTCACGTTGTCATCTACATAGTTGCAGAACAAGCATTCAATAAAATTCAAAATCCATTTATAATGGAACCTGTTTGTAAGCTAGGGCAAAAATAGCACTCCATTATTCTGATAGGAGGATCAAAAGAAAAGACTACAGCAAATATCACATTCCATGGAGCAAACATATAAAACATTGCATCTAAAATCAGAACAAACAAAGAAAAGAAAAATATATGAAATGAAAGCCACTATAAGTGTATGCAGATTAGTAACAAATGTCATTCCAAGAGAGCTTTTCACTCTAAGGAAGATGAAGTAGGGACCCTGAATACTAGGACCTCAGCAGCAATGTCTCAGCCAATAAGGAGTGTCTGCAACCCAAATTATTGGTGTCTCATCCAAAATGATCCATCCTGGCTTTTACCCACCACTTTCCCCACAGCAACTACAAACGCTCCGTATGCTCTTTCTGTCTGCTTTGTGCCGGAAACAGAGCTTCCCGTGGCAATGGGAGTGAGACTTTGCAGAATCTGGAGTAATCCTGATATTTATTCTTACTTTACCGATTTCTTCAATATATGAGGTACTGGGTGAGTCCTTAGCATGGGTGTGTAGAATCTGTATGCTTATTTTATAGATCAAGTCCTGGATTAGGCTTAAACTTTTGAAGTTCTTAGATAGTGATACTGAATAAAGGCTTGTATTGTGATCCTTGAGTGATGGATCCATTTGTAAAAGGACACTGGATGGCTGGAAGTACAGTTATGCACTTCTTCATGTCACAGGATACATTCAGTGACATGTATTTCATTTCATTGCTGCCATTGCTGCTGCTGTCTGAACTGCTGATGGCGGTAGGAGGTAGGATGGAGGTAGGAGGGACGGGCAGTAGTAACACATGAGCCCAGAGTGCTTTGGTGGAAGCAGAACAAGAAGGCAGCAGGGTGGTCTTGTTCGTTCAACATCCTGCTCTGCTCACAGTTCCGTCCTCCTGTGTAACAAATTGAATGGTCTCCGTACCCCCACCCCCTAACCCTTCCTGCTCACGGCACCGTCAGAGGGCCCAGGCCCAGAGCTAGGTACTTTCCTTCACCTGCTTGTATCCCACCGTGGTTTAGTGTTGCAAGAGTCTTGCTTTGATTTTTGACTGCCACTTATATTGCTATTACGTAGGGTTTTCAAGTCTAAGTCTCATATTTGTTCCATGAAATGGCAGATGGATTGTACCACTGTCTTGGCAGTTAGTTGTCCCATGCCTGTCCCACGGCAATGCTGAGGCTTTAGTAATTCATTAGGAAATAAGAATACATGGAACGAAAGCTTATTTTCCTTAAAGATAAAATAACAACAAACGTCCTTCTGGGATCACGAACATATAAGTAGCTGGAACAGATATCTTCAGAAATGCATACTCGCATAATATTGAACACGGGGTGGGGTGGGGGGTGGGGGGGGTGGGGTGGTGGTGGTGGTCATGAATTGATCTAGTTAACCAGTCTAGTTCTTACCCAGTATAGAGATAATCTGTTAAAATGACCAGAAGGATCCTTAAATTATATGTTTGAATAGTACAAAAGGAAATAATAGATTCATAGGTACAACAAGAGGGTATTTGGCTTTCGAAATGACTATCTACATATTCTTTGCATATACTAATAAAAGTCTGCAAGTTAATAGTTATGCTTGAAATAAAGTAAGTTCAGAGCTAAGAATGAGGGATTTTCATTATATATACATATATGTACAGATACATACACATATACATTTATGCATTTAACAGTTTCTTTATTTGTATTAATTAATTTTATTTGGAGCTCTTACAAATATTATAACAATCCATAATTCAGTGAAATCAAACATTATTGTACAATTGCTGCCACCATTAGTTTCAAAACATTTTCTTACTTTTTGAATTCTTTGGTATCAGCCCCTCTTTATCCCCTCCTCCCCATCCTACCCCCTTGGATCACTATTATTATATATATATATATTTCCTTATCTTACACCATCTAATGTATCCATTCAGAACCTACAATTCTGTTATTCATTCCCCTTGAGTGAGTTTATACAGACATCATTGCCATCCTCCTCCCTCCACCTCTTCCAATACTCTCAGGGAATCAATACTCTGGCTACTATATCTGAAGGGTTTATCTGTTTGGTTTTCATGCATAGAATAATCTTAATTACACAAATGAAGCTATCCAGGTCTAAGAAGATTCATGAGGGAACACTAAGATCTTAATAGTAAGGGGAGGAAATAATAAAGGACCAGAGGATAGTCATGTGTTTCATCAGTGCTACATGTTACTTATCAGGAAAATATGTTGTTTTTGATTTAAAATAAAAGCCGAGACAAATTACTTGCAATTGCATGAATGAAAAACCCAAGATAGTAGAACATTTGCTTGCTAAACTGTTTTTGGGCTTGCTGAACATTAACAGACTTTTTACCAGTACATCAGATTTAGCAATATGGGAACACATCCACCCAGACGCAGAACCTCGAGAAGGACTCTCCAGCAATGTGAGATAGCGTTGAGGTCGTTGGACAAGAAGGACTTAGAGATGGTATTTAGAAAAGAGAATTGTGTAAAAAATCCAGAATATTAAGTAGAGAAGGAAGCCTTCATAATAAAAGTATCATTGTTAGTGTGACAGCATGGCTTTAGAAACGTGGCAAGTCTCTCATAAAAATCTGTGAACATAACCTAGTACATTCGATCATTTAATATGTGGTCTGGGCAGTTTTTAACTTCCCAGGTTGAACTTTGTTTCAGGCCAGGCAAACATGTTTTCATGGCAGGTTTCAGATGCCCAAAGCTTCCTGTTTCCTGATTGTGAAAGCTTCACTAATTGGAATCCATTCCCCTGAAAGTTAGTTTTCCAACAGGTTTCATTTTCTTGAGATGTATTTCTGGACAGCTGGAATCCAGAAAGTGGGAAAGACGTTTCATCATGCTGACACACACTTACCCTCTGGGTGAAAATTATTAGGAAGCTTGGCATGAATTTTTACAGTGGTTGGTTCAGGAAGTAAAGCTGGAATTCTTAACATCCCCCAAATAATTTTATATTTGTCCAGAATTTGAGTGTTCTAGAACTCCAAGAGAACGTTTAAAGGGGTAAAATAACCCAAAACAAAACCAAACAAAACTTCCCTGACTGCCTTTACTATTAGAAAATCATTCAGTTTAAAACAAGATTATTTATTTTTACAGGTACAATCTGGACTCAGCAGATACTAAGGATGATTTATTTCAAGGATTATCGGAACAGAATTGCACCTATGGGAGCATTTGAAGGAGTTTATTTCTTTGAGTATACCTCAATAGCCTGGCTCAAGTGCCCATCTCCTCGTCTCTTCTCAGTCCACCTTCCCATTATTTAGCTCCAAATGGTCTGAAGAACAAAAAAGCTAAAGTATGTCGCAGAAATTGCTTAAAGACTTTTCCCCAGACAAGTCTTTGTCTCTGGCCTAATTCATTCATATCCTTTCATATGTTTTGTTTATTAATTTTATAGTGATGATTTTGCTTTAAAGATTTAAAACCCATATATGGAATTGTACATACATTTATACATTAGTCACCACATATGCCGTTTTTCAGTGCAATCATATAAATGAATAATGTTCACATCAGTACAGAGAACTTCATTCTTGTTAGGGCTTCATCCAATTTAATTGTGAGCCATATGTAAGATAGTCATTTATATGTTACATTTTGACAATCATTCATAGACATAATATTGATGTATATGTTATAGTGTAACAGGCATACTTATATATCTCTGTGCTTTTGTTTGTGTGAAATGTTTCCCTAAAAGTTGAATTTCAGGTGAAACTATACAAATACTTTAAATCATCTAGGGGGTTTGTGCATGTGTTTTGATCATGCATCAACTTACATGTCTTCAACTAGCATAGAAGAATGCTTCTTTCCTCATGAAAACAGTTCTTCTCAGTGATTGGAATGATGGATTTTGTTAATGTACTAAGTAAAAAGATTTCATTCTGGAATGATATACTTTTTTTTCACTTGTTATAACATTCAGCATCGTTTGAAATTTGTTTCTAGGTTTTTAAACGCCTTTATACTTTTTGCTCATTTTTCTTTCATTTGTTTTCATTGATTGTTTTCTGGAAGTATTGGTGATCCCTGGGTAGTTCAAGTGATTTGTCCTTGACTAAAACCAGAAGGTTGGCTACTAACCTCAGGGTCAGTGGTTCAAGCAAACCCAACAGCTCCGTAGACGCTTTCTATGAAGACCGCGCCAAGATGACCCTATGGGGGAGTTGTGCTCTGTAACATGTGCCATCACCTCGACTCAGAGTTCACGCTGTAGCACTCTGTGGTCAAAGCACTTATATGGAGGTAATACATTTTCAACCAATGCTTTACCTTTACAAATGGTTGAGCACATTGTCTTTTATATAACTCATTTGTTCACCTTTCCTTTATTACTGTTGTCTCTTATGTCTACTTAAGAAATCATTCAATTATCACAAAGATTAATCTTTCCAGGTTTGAACTTTTTTTTTAATATTAAGTTAAGTGACATCTGACATTCACATCTGCCGTATGATGTGAGGTATCAACATTATATCATATTTGTCCAACCTTAGCTCACTGACCCAATTGTACTCAGTGTAAATATCTACACTCTCCCAAGTGGCTTCAGTCAACATTGTGATATACACTTTTTATACCAAAACTTGATAAGCCAGACTCACTGGCATGGAGTTGATTCTGATTCATTGTGTCTCTTTAAGAAAGAGCAGAATTGTCAATGTGCATTTCAGAGGCTGTAAATCTGAACTAGAGCTGAGTCTCACTTTCACCAGCAGAGCAGCTGTTGAGATTGACCTGCCATCTCGTGGTTCCTAGTCCAATTCCTAACCCAAAAGACCCTCAGAGCTCCTTCCCTATTTAATCTGTGCCAACTCTTTCCTGTTTTAATAGTCTGAGCAAGTAAAACTTTTAGACTCTGATAAGGCAACTCCTCCATCAACTAAATTTAAAAAATATATAATCCCTTATTGACTGCTATATGTTAACTAAAATCTATTAAATATATAAATTAACCCTGGGAAAATTGTTGGCTTGCAATTTTCTAAATATATCTAGCTTCATTTAATACTCTTTACTTATTTCTACTTTTATTTCCTTCTAAAATTTTCTGTTCTTCAAATATATCTTAAATCTTTTTTATGATGAAATTCTCAGTATTTTGTTTAATCTTTATTGCTATGATAAATTAGAAATTCCTTTGAACTATTAATTTTCTATATATTTGTCTTACAACGAAAAGGCATTTGTTTAATTGTTTGTTCTTATTTAATCTTTTATTGGGTTTTAAAAATTTTTCCTTTTGTTGAGTCTCAAATACATTCATTGTATAATTTTAACGTGATATTTTTACTTTCCATTGTTTACAAATTTCTTTCTCAGTAGCTAAACTCTACAGAGGAAATAGGCAAAAAGATTATAGCAAATATTTTCTATTTTCCTTTATACTAGCATTTCTAGAAAAAAATTTCCTATAGATCTCTGAGATTCATAATGGTAAAAAATATTTTGATTTTAATTTTAACTTACTTTAAATTAAAAGTAAATTTTAATATTCTTAGAGTGCTACTTTTTAAATTTAAATTTTAATATCCTTAGAGTGGTACTTTTCTTTTTGTTTATTGGAAGTAGGGGAAATAATATTAATTAAGTTTTTTGTAAATGCTGAAAATACCATGTGGATATTTTTCTTTATAGTACAATGAAATTCACTACTTAATATAAAGATATCCCATTTTAGCACTTTCTGGTTGGATTACTGACTACAGAGTTAACACACACAACCCCCCCCACCACCACCTAGCTATCTATTCACCACAGAAAGATGAAAATATGTGCTCACATAAATATTTATAGGATCAACCACCATATAAATTTTGAGTATGATTGACTCAATAGCAAGAGTAGATTTCTGGAATAAATTCTACTTGTTGGAAGTATAATCACTTAACGTTCGGATTAAATAATATTTTTAATTTTAACACAGTTCTTAAACCAATGATTATTTAATGCCCTCAATGTTGTAGCAAGAGTTTGCCCAATAGTTTACCCTTCCTCTTGTGGACTACCATTTTCCATTTCACTCAAGTCACTACCTGTCAACCATCTAGTAGTCCTTGCTTTATCTTTCTCCCTCCCTCTCCCCTCCTACATAATCTCCAAAGACTGTTCCCTTTGTGATGAAAGTCTTTATCATATTTTGTGGGGGGGTTTTCCCCCTTGATAGTTTGAAATATACCCCCCACCTAATTCACAATTAAAAAATACTCTTAAATTATATTTAAAATGATTTCTAATATTCTAAGTTTATACTTGGTTTTACTACCACTGTTTCCTTTTCTGATATCAATATAAATTATTCATATTTCATAATTTATTGAACAAATTAGAACAGAATTTAAAATGATCTAATCAATTTTTTCTTAGTTTGTGACTTACTTTTTAAAATTTTATAATGATGGGAAAGTTTTAATTATCTCCTTTTTCCTTTTTTCCAAATAACAAAATTTTCGTATTTTTCCTAATATAATTCGTTCTTTTAAAAAATTAGCATTTTGTTTTTTAGTATCATCTGTTTCATTATAATTGTTTCCCCATACTTTGTTTACATTTATAGGTAACGATTTTTAACTAATTTGTCCATTTTGAACTCCCTGCCATCGGAGTTGTTTCTGGTTCATAGCGACCCTGTTGGATAGAGTTGAACTGCTCCTGTGCGTTTCCCAAATTGTAATTTTTTTAATCACTTAATTGGGGGGCTCATACAGCCCTTCTCACATACATACATCATGTTCAGCACATTGGCACATTTGTTGCCATTGTCATTCTCAAAACATTTGCTTTTTACTTGAGCCCTTGGTATCACCTCCTCATTTTCCCCCCTCCATCCTCGCTCCCCCATCCCTCATGAACCCTTGATAATTTATAAATTATTATTATTTTGCTATGTCTTACACTGTCTGACATCTCCCTTCACCTACTTTTCAAAACAAAGCAATTTTTTGTAGAAATTTATCCTACAGATTTCATGAGAAATGTATGCAAGAAATAATGCATACATGCAAATGTGATTAAATTCAGATACTATTGTGCTCAAAAAAAGAAATAAATGTGGAAACAACCTAAATTTTCAGAATCAGTAATGTTTGTGAATGAAGGTAATTGTGGATGTAGGTAATATTAAAAAGACCAAAATCATTGCTATGTGTCCTTTCCAACTCTTAATAACCCTATAGAACAGGGTATAAATGCTCCTTTGGGTTTCAGAGACTAACTCATTCCAGGGTTTGAAAGCTTGTAATAAGAAGGGAAGCAGGTAAATACCCAACACAAATGGTGCTACATGAAAACAGAGCCACAGATTAATTCAGTAACTCTGAAAGTCAGTGGTCTGAACTTACCCACTAAAAGATAGGGAATACCACACTGGTTTAGAAAAAATAACCTATCAATCTGTTGTCTGCAAGAGAAACATCTCAACCTCGTAGATGAAAATAGGCTGAAAATTAAAGTCTGTTGAAAAATATACCAAGCAAACCTGCAATTTGAAGAAGAGGGGTTGCGATCTTGATCTGACACAACTGATCTCAAGGAGCAAGCCACAACAAGACATAAGGAGGGACGCTATGTAATTCTCAAGGTAAACAGTAGGCCAAGAACACGTGAGCATAATGAATATATATGCGCCCAATGAGAGACCTGCAGAATTTGTCAATCTAACGCTCCAAAGATGAAAAAAAATCACAGGTTGAACAATACTAGTAAGTTTGGTAGTTCCATAATCCGGTGTGAAATTGAGGATTGGAATGAAGGGGTAGATTCCAGTCTGTCAATCAGGTGATGGCCAATGAGGCCTCTGTGTGGGCATGCCTTCACCTGCGTATTCTGGGAACTCTTGTATTCCTTCCTGGAGGCTAGGGACACTCTCACTCTCACTCCCTGCAAGACAACCTTGTGGTGAAGACACATGGAAAGATGCTGTTGGATCCAACCTCTGGAGCTGGAGAAGCCACGTGGAGACCATTGTCAGTAATGAGATCGTTACAACACCACTGGATCCACAAGACTTCCCACCCACTGACCTTGTGATCTTCCTGAATTTGGCATCATTGCATGTGTTTCATGCATCTGAAGAATAATTTATAGATTGATATCTGACATATGAGATAATATCAGACTTATGGGCTTGATCTGGACTGAGCTGAGATGTTTTCTTAATGTACAGTTTTTTTTGCTGAATATAAAGCTCTTTCGTATACCCATATGAGTATCTATGAATTTGTATCTCTAGTCTACCTAGATCTAACAAGTAGGTGAATTTAATACACTGCTCTCCAAGAAAACAGAGCACCGGGAAATAAGTTTAACAAGGAAGACACAGAAGTAAACTCTACAATTTGGCAACTTGACTAAATAGACATTTTTAGAGGTCTTCCCCCCCAAAGACCAAAAAATTCACATTCTTTTCAATGCGCATTGCACATACTCAAAAATAGGCCACACAGTGGGGCACAAATCAAATCTGAGTAAATTCAAGAACATAGAGATCACGAAATATCCCTCTCAGACCAGTATGCAATAATACTAGAAATCAACTAAAGAACCTTTAAAAAAATCAAGAGCAAATAGTTAGTGAATGAATAACTCCCTACTGCAAAATGAATGGGTACTGGTCCAGAGCAGAGATGCAATTAGGAAGTTTTTAGATACCAATGAGCATGAGAATAAGAATAAAACATACCAAAAGCATTGGGACACAGCAAAAGCAGTTATCAGAAGCTTGATAGCGATTAATGTACACATGAAAAAGGAAGAGAAACTTATGATTGAACCTTTATCACAAAGCCTCCTGCAATTAGAGCAGAGTCAACAGAATAATCCTACCAATAGCAAGAGAAAAGAAATCAAGGCAGAGACAAATGAGTGGGGGAAAAATAAAATAATGCAAAGCATCAATGCAGTAAAAAAGCTGGTTCTTTGAAATAATCAACAGAATCGATAAGACAGCTGGCAAACCTAACCAAAGCAGGAACAATCATCAATAACCAGGATGAGGAATGAAGTGAGGGAAATTACAACAGGTCCTAATGAAATTAAGAGGTAAATTACATGCTACTACCAAAGCCTGAACTCCCACAACTTTAACAACTTGAAAGACATTGAAAAATATCTAGAAAAATAATCCCTCCCAAGATTATCCTAGATGGACATCAAGAACCCCAGACCGTATTCCAATTGATTGATAGCCAGGCACCATCTGCTCTCTTCACCAACCTTGGCTATAGCCCCCTTATCTTCAGTGGTTTCTACATGAAGGTGAATATGGAGTAGGGCCATGTTATAAGAATTACCTATTCTTGAGGTCAGAGTAGAATAATCTGGGAAGCCAGAATATATCTGCTTCTCCACAGATTATGACTGAATCTGGTTTACTTTGGTGGTCATATTGTGACAAAAACAAAATAAAAAAGCCAACAGGAACAACAGCAAACAAACAAACAAACAAACCCCAAAGATACAAAAAAAGAAAAACCTTGTCAATCATCTCCCTGAGTTATAGGGGGATTACACTGGGAACATCATAATTTATCCAATGTCATAGAATTTAAGATACTGTTTATATGAGGAGTTTATGGAAGAATAGTGCAACTGTGAGCTACAATCCATGGGCTGTTGTTTTGTACAGATTGATTTCTTAATTGATTGATCTCTGTTTACTGAGTTTGGGGCTTGGTGCGAGGGGAAAGTTTCCTGCATTAGTTCTTACAAGGGAGAATGATTGCCTATTAGATTAAAACCTGTCATATTAATGCAAGGGGAACATTGAGGTATCAAATATACGGTGGTACCGCACAATTATGAGATACCACGCAACACCCTCAAAGTTAGCCCAGTTCAAAAAATCAGAAAGCAACAAGTGAAGAATGGATGAAGCATGTTACCACATGGGAAGAACTGGAGTAGATTATGCTAAGTGAAGTAAGCCAAGCGCAAAAGGAAAAGTACAACATGAGTCTACTGAGGTAAGTTTTAAAAATGCAAAGGGGCATAGGGAAAAAGCTACTCTATACAAACATTCCTGGGGTGAGGTCCAGGTAGTATGGCAGGGGTCAGACCAAATCCAGGGATACATATGGTAGCCACCTAAAAGGTGGCGGAGGGGGTTGGGGGGGAGATAGAAATGGGTACCAGGGGAACGGTATTAACCCACCTAAGGAGAGGGTATTGTTTATATCTCCACAGACAAAGAGGGTCCAGACTTCAACCCAGTGTTGCGAGATGTAAATGCAGCTAATGTTTCCTGGATGCTTCTTACCCTGAAGCATTGTCACTCGGATGATGCAGTCTGACTTTCAGCCAAAGAATTCAAGAATTGCAAATCTCTAAATTCATCTACTCTTCGTTTATTTTGTTACCAACATTGTTCATTTATGACAACAGTAAAAAAATACTGATTGTTTTGTGTATTAATAACATACATCTGACAGCAATGACTGTTGAGGTTCGAAGTGAGAGTGGGCTGGCTATGATGGTTAAGGTTGTGTTCATTTGACTAGACATTGTTCTCAGTGGTTTGGCAGTTATATAATTATGCAACTTGCCAGTTATGTAGTAATGTAATTATTCTCTATTTTGTAATGTGATGTGGTCATCCTCTATTTTGCATAATTTCAATTTTTGTATAATGACCTGATCTTTGAAACTCAACCAAACTCAGTAGGCAAAGGATGGGTATAAAGTTTTCAAGTTCTACAAATTAACTTTAAGAGAGATATTTTTTCAACAGTGATTAAGTTGTGTGAATCAATGTTTCCTTTTTTCTCACAAACCACTAATGATTGGTCATTTTGTCATGTCACAGATGAAACCATTTTAATTGTTGTGGCATTTATACATGTATAGCTGTTTCCTGTTGGATGGATCCTATTAATATTATAATAATTAATTTATAATAAATATGCCTGTGAAAATATGCCTCTACATAGGACATGTCTTTACTACTCTCAGATAAAATTCTTTCCTTTGGCAAAAGTTGCAGGAAGCTGGAGTTGTGGGAAATTGAGTCTACTTGGATCAGAATGTTGTTTAATAATATTTTTCCTATAAACTCCTAAATGTTTGGAGCTCAAGGAAAAGACATTTCCTGTATGGAAAGTGTGGAGACCTCTAAGAGGGAAATTTTGGATCCCCAGATGCTACAAATAGGTGATCATAGGGCTATTTTCTTTATCAGTGAGAGAAGATTCTCCTCTGGCTTGGAAAATTTAGGAAGAATCTTGTCAGTGTTCACAATGACCTGCTCAGGAGATTTCAAAGAAATCACCAGATAATTTATGAGATGCTTGGTAAATCTACCCTGAAGTAAATTCATTTCAAAATACCCTTTGGAGGCTAAACCGGATCAATGCACTGTTACGTTTGTTCATTACTATTGCGTGAATTCTGACTCAACTCCACTGCTATGTGCACTGAGTAGAATTGCTCCACAGGTTTCAAGGTTGTGACTTTTGGATTGATGACGATGCCTGTCCTCGGAGGCAGCTCTGGGGGGATATGACCTGTAAACTTTTCAGCTGGTAGTCGATGTTTTAAGCATTTTTACCAACCATTTGTTTCACTCTGAAAGGCTGTCTCACTTGTGTTGGCTACCTGACAGGCGACATTTAGTTATTTATTTATTTATTTATTTATTTATTTTAAAATCATTTTATTGGGGGCTCATACAACTCTTATCACAATACATACATACATCCATTGTGTCAAGCACATTTGTACATATGTTGCCATCATCATTTTCAAGACATTTTATTTCCACTTGAGCTCTTGGGATCAGCTCCTCAATTTCCCCCTTCCCTCTCCTCCCATCCCTCCCTTCCTCACCCTTGACAATTCATAAATTATTTTTATTTTTTCACATCTTACACTGACTGATGTCTCCCTTCACTCACTTTTCTGTTGTCTGTCCCCCTGGGAAGGGGTTATCTGTAGACCATTGTGATTGGCTCCCCCTTTCTCCTCCTACCTCCCCCTTCCCCTTCTGTTATCGCCACTTTCATTCTTGGTCTTGAGGTGTTTATCTGTCATGGATTCCCTTGTTTCCAGCTCTTATCTGTAACTGTGTACATGCTCTGGTATAACCATATTTGTAAGTAGAATTGGGATCATGATAGTGGGGTGGGGGGGGCATTAAAGAACTAGAGGAGAGTTGTATGTTTCATCAGTGTTGTACTGCACCATGACTGGCTCATCTCTCCCTTGTGACCCTTCTTTAAAGGGATGTCCAATTATCTACAGATGGACTTTGGTTCTCCACTCTGCACTCCCCCTCATTCATATTGATATGACTTTTTTGTTCTGGGTTCATTGATACCTGATACCTGATGCCATTGACACCTCATGATCACACAGGCTGGTGTGCTTTTTCCATGTGGACTTTGATGCTTCTCAGCTAGATAGCTTCTTGTTTGTCTTCAAGCCTTTGAGACCCTAGACACAAAATCTTTTCATAGCTGGCCACCATCAGCTTTCTTCACCACATTTGCTATGCATCCATTTTATCTTCAGCAATGGTGTCGGGAAGGTGCAGATGGAGTTTAATAAGAAATCTTGAGAAGTGTATTCTAAAATAAAAACACATGGTTTTCTTTAAATTTTTTGTTGCTAATTGGGTGAGGTTTATAGAACAGATCATTGTATTTGAATTCAACAATTTACCAAACATCCTGATGGGTTGCACATTTACCATCATATTTTCCCCATCTCTTTCTTATTGGATATTGTCTTCTCCCTCACCAAGGTGATGTAATGGGTAACACATTGTACTGCTAACCTCAAAGTCAGCAGTTTAAAAGCACCAGCTCTGCTCCAAGAGAGAAACTTGAGAATTTTTATCTTTATAAAGAACTACAGTCTCAGGGTGTCTAGTCTGTCCTATAGCATCAACTATGACTTGGTGTTAGCGAGATTGGTTTTCACCCAATTTAGCAATCTGTCTACTCTAGCAGTCTGTCTACTCTAGCGGTCTGTCTACTCTAGCAGTCTGTCTACTCTAGCAGTCTGTCTACTCTAGGAATCTGTCTA